CTCAATCCGATCTTTGACATTTGTTTGAGAGTCCGGTCGAGATACGGGATCAAAAAAGAATTTAAGATGGCCTCATTCCTTATCTCGGTCTCTTTAAAAGGACTGTAAATGGCTTGAGCAGCTGAAATTTAAAAAAATGGCCTTCTTAAAGTCTAAAAAAATAATAAGCTATAATGTCTTCTGCATTTTTCTGCATTTTTTTTCTATCTTTTTGAATTTCGTAAATAATACTCATAAAATAAAATGAAAGAAATATTTTGTATAGTTCCTTTACAGCGATTGGCACATTCACGAAATCTTACCAACATTGTTAAAACCATACTTAAATTTGTAGCATAATATTTTTTTCCCAGAAAAGTGTGTCTGTTTAAGTACAATTTTCATGTGTGTTATATTACAGAGACAATTTATGTTCGAGAATCACCCGAATTATAATGGGAACAACCTGATTTAACTTTTTATAATAATAATAATAATAATAATAAAATGCTTATAAGGCTTTAATACACTTTAGATATATTATATTGTTTGATAAATGAATTGTCATCGGTATATAATTTATCCAAGCAACAATTGACATGTTGACTAAGTACAACCGTTGTAGAGCAACTCCCTTTGGAAGAGACAAAGATTTTCTATTATAATTATGAATAATTATAGTTCAGAATATAAATCTTTGTACCTATCATAAATGTTCTTATTCATATATATGTTTTCATGATCTGATAATTTTAAATGATACTTACATGATACGTAAACTAGAAAGTACAAAGCAACTAAAAATGTTGACTTTATTTTCCTTGTTAAATACCGGCATGGCTGTTAAGATTTAACTATTTTCATTCCTGTATAACCGAATATATTTCTAGAAAAATCACTTGACAAGTCACTTTATTTTCGTCCTTTCCTAATTGAGATTTCGATGCAACCGATGTCACAAACTGTACGTTACGCAACTATCACAGCAGTTTTTTGTTTCCATCGCACTAATTAGAGTATCGATAATTATTGATGCGAAAGCCTAGAAGCATGTGGAAACAATCGTCGATTTACTCGTCGTACTTAACCGATGTATAACAGAAAGGTTTTAAAGGTTCGACACAAAACGGGCAATTGGTTTAAGAAATCTAACGTAATGACAATATTATCTCAATCTAAAGTCGTGCATGATCAGACTTTCGTATTGTTAACATGGCCAGCGATTGATTAAAAAAAGCAGGGAAAACCGTAAGATTCAATGGGACATGAGATGATTTGATGAAAAAATGATGTTTTAAGTATAAAACTAATTTAGAAACTAACACTGTTTGTTTTCTAACGGAAATGAAATATTTCATTAAGTGTCTATGACAATTTGTGACTTGGATTTTTTTGCATTTATAAAAAGTGTCAATCGCACTTTTTCGGCCATTTCTGTCAGTTTTCGGACAAAATAGTTGTATGAATACACAGAACGGATACGGTATTTTGGTCTAACCTACGCTAGGAAACTAGTCATGTAAACAAATAGTAATTTTATGCGGGGAGTCGTATTTCCAATATATCAAGTGAACGTCCACTTAAAAATGAAATAATACAATATATTATCTATATATTCTTTATTATGGTTGAAAAACCGAAAGTACAAAATGCCAACCTGTTGACATTTAGTCGGATTTGTTTAAAATTGTACATCAGTGGGCATATTTAAATTAAAAATCGTTGTCAGACATATTCTCAATCATAACTGTACTGAACCAGACTTTTCACTGATGTCAAATGTATACATTCGTTTAACATTATCGAAGATAACGCTCTCTATTTTTGTTTACATCTGAAACCACGTGGTAGAACTACTTTCAATCCGTATTAATTCCGAGGTCATTATAGATGATAGCCGAGAACGTTCCGATTGTAAAAGGTGTATGTCAGTCCTGTGATCAGCAGAAAATTTCAATCAAAAAGGGGGTGGGTAATCCTATTTGAAGTCATTTTGCAAAGCATTTGGTCGGCTACCCCTATATAAAAAGATCATTTTATGCATTATCATTTTATTGTATTAAGCAATTCATTCTTCTTGAAAAAAAATCTCTTTAACATGAAGACTCAATTCTTAGGTAGGATTAGGGACCATTTCCCATAATGTAAGAAATAGGAAAACCAATATGAAAGTCTGACCAAACAAAACAAGTGAGATATATGTTTAACAAATTTGTCATGCATCATGGCCCGCTATGTGTTAATGTGCAGTGAATCCAAAACAAACAAATGGAATGCATATAACAATTTTAATAAAACAAAAACACGTACACCTGGTAGATACAGTAAATACATAGACGGAGTTTTTTAAAGAAAATATTCCACCCCCTACCCCCACCCCCTTTACACAAGATTACAAGTATATAAAAATAGAAATTAATCCATAATTTGCAAATGCCCCCAGGATTATATTTAGAAACAAAGAGTGGAATATATTTAATGCATATAAAACGTTTTTGAAACGTTTATGTTTTTCAAAATTAAAACACATGTAATTCTATTATATATTAATTAATTAAAAGAAGAAAATATGTACATCAAAATGTGTCAAGAAATTATATATAATCTATTTAAAGTTTCATAGCGGACTATAAAGGACGCAGACTTAAAATTATAACTTAATGTTAATTTATAAAAAAAGGACGAAATCATAAAATATTTAATTGAACGCCACATTTAAAAACCTAAATCAACGCGGTAACATATATATAAGATAAATCATCAACAGTCGCTCCTATATGTCCTGATCTTTTGAGCTGTTTTTGTTTGTGTTGTTGTTGTCTATTGTTATTATTAAAATAATAATAATAATAATAATAATTATTATTATTATTATTCAGTCAGGCGGCCGAAATAATTTAAATTTTTTAAATAAGGAAACCTTAAAGTTGTCTGTTAGAACGTGTACAGCAAGATACACAAACCGCTATCGGACGTTTTATATTACTGAGGTCAACATGTTTGCGCATGACATTTTGTCATATTTAGATCCAGATCTTTGTTTTGTCCCAATTTGATAAAAGGAGAGACATTCTTTTTATTTATAGCAGAAAATAGGTTTAAGTGGATTTTGAACATGAACTGGTTTATTTGTAAGTATTAACTTGATCTTTAATTAAAAAAGAACTTTTAAAAATTAATACTCACGCAACGCCAATTAAAAACTGTAGTGCATATCTTAATGCCATTTGATATTAAATTGACGTCATATGGTACATATTAAAATTTTGATGATTTTATGTTTGATTTTAAATGGCTAAATGTTCTAAAGGTTCGGCTGGGGAAATTCGTGGTGAAAGTAACGATATTTATGGTTTCTCAAATCGCTTGCCCGGTGACATCCGTGGAAAAAGTAACGGAAATACTCGCCCTTAATGCTCGCCTAATTATCATATTATAATAAAGGTAATAATAGAAAAAATATGTTTACAATTATAATTTATTATTATTATTACATGTACTGTTGTTGTTGTTTATACTTTTGAATCATAACCTGTATTGTATAGTTTATTTTACTGTGATTTCAGGTTGTTGCATCTTAACATTGGTGCTTAGAAACGATAATGTCGTTTCTGCTTTTATTTGTAAGTATGACAGTTTTGATAATTTACATTCTTTTTCATGAAACTGCCAAAAAAAAGTCATTAAAAATACAGTACAGTAATTTTGCCATCATTTTTACATTTAGCTTACTATTGTGAATGCTGTTAAGCAAGAAGTTAAGAAATGTTCAAGCAAACAATTGAATTTTAAAAAAGAATGTAAGATTTGTATTATGTGTACTGTTTGTTCTTTTTATTCACTTTAAAAGCTTAATGGTACCTTAACGTTCATATTATTCAACTTGACCTTTTTGTGCCCCCACTTTAAGGGAGGGATTTAGATTAACTTTTGTCATTTGTCCGCCCGTCCGTCCGCACTCACAGGACAGTAATTATGTGGCTAGAGGGACAATAGGTAATGTTCTTTCTCTTTTATGTCATTCATTCCGTAATGCTTTTATGTAGCTATTTTCTTTTGTACGGCTAAAACGAACAATAATACCTATGTTACTATATTTAGTAACAAAATCTAGGGTATTTCAGGGCCATAACCGCAAGATCTAGGTCATTATGCAATTTTGGCCGCCTTGCTACTCGGCATTATTTTTCCATAATGGGCGAGTGAATGAGCGCACGTACAGAATGACGTCATCAACTCTCAGCGACTTTCAAGATGGCTGCTGACGTTGAATGAACTAAAGTCACTTGCACACAAACTTTTAAGTTTAAATGACGTAATCAATCGCAATCAACAAAGCTTAACATTGAATATTTATAAACTCAAGAAAAGAATACAATAACTCATTCCAAGTCAAAACAAGACCCTCAGAACTTCCAAAAATGATTTCAGTTTGACGGTAGATCTATTTTATTTTAAAACAGATAGGATCGTTGACACTGATCGTCTCAGAAACAGTTCTTGAAGGCACACACGTTCATAAAAAACTTATCACAAAAAATATAAAGAGTATTTATCGATATAAAGAACAATAAAACAACATTGTCTCATATTTATTTTGTTTTGTCATGTTTTCAAAGTAAATCGAAGAGTTAAATTGAATGATAGATATTTGTTTACATTGACAACTAACCGTTTCTTAGAAAGGGCGACAACCAAGATTAGCGGCGATGTCTAAATGCCGTATTTCGGACATAGGTATTAAAGACGTTAATACTTGGTTGCTGCTCGCCATTATGCGATAATGGCCCTTGAGTCCATAATTTCCTTCGGGCCTGCGGCCCTTAGGCCATTATGCACATCGTCGGGCCATTATTGCATAATGGCGAGCAGCAACGAAGTATTAACCTCTAAATAGGGAGAACAATAAAGAAGCCACATAATAACTGTCCTGTGAGAACATCCGTCCTTCCGTCCATCCGTCCGTTCTCTTTTGTGTCGCACGTAACTCAAAAAGTATTTGATCTAGAGTCATGAAACTTTACAGAAATGATCAGCATGTGTAGTTGTGCACTTGGGTATTTTTGTGTGGATTTATTGAGTATTTTAGAGTTATTGCTCTTGATTTAGTAAAAATTTGCAATTTTCAACTTGTGTCGTATGTAACTCAAAAAGAATTTGACCTAGAGTCATGAAACTTTACTGGAATGTTGATCAGCATGTAAAGTTGTACACCTGGGTATTTTTGTGTGCGCAGCGCCCATTATGGAATGAAATCAGGTTTTGTGAAAGGGCGCCGGCAACTTCCCGAGCCTTTTAGTCGGTCATAATAAAAGCCGATCATTCCGATCGGTATGAGGATGCTTGATTATTAATTAAGTTGAAATGTCGCGATATGTACAATGAATAGCGAACTGGAGAATTTCGCAATGCAAACATTTTCAAATGAAATAACCGTTGCTGTCAATAAATCGCGCTCTTCGGGGTATATTTATTTATCATTTTGTAGAACACAGTGGGTTATTATGGTATGTTATTTATGTACATGTATCCGAAAGCTGTAAATAGAATGACAAGTAAAATGGTTTCCTGCGGGGAACATTTTTAATGATATAAAGATATTTCATTTAAATATTTTCAACATTGTTTTGGGAGAGGGGAATAAATAAACGTTTGTATCAGGAATATAGTTGACAATAATCGATCAATATAGAAGAAGATCTTTGGAAACTGGTGACCGTTGATGGCCGGAGAAGGTCAAGCATAAAACAATTATTTCATTTTAAGAAAATGATTAAATAGGCCTACCATTTATGAATAATTCCAAGCAAAAAAATAATAATAATAAAGTAAACACACAAGTTTACGCAGAAAATATCTTCATGTAAAACCTTTTTAACAAATTACTTTTATAAATACATGATGCCACTACGAATATTTTAATTTCGTAGATTTTCAGTATAAACAATTTATTGTTTGTAAAATTTGAGATACATATATTAAAGAAACAATGATAATTTTCAAATACATCATTCAAGTTTTTCCACCTTAAACGGTAAAATAATTATAGAAAATTAGAAATATCACGTTATAGTTTTTTGTTCTTAATTAGGTATAATTCTGACTACTTCCCTAGAGGTAATTCCGTAACGTACCGACAAACGGTATTTAGCCAGATTTTCGAAAAGGTCAATAAAACAATCGTGTACAGTTTACAGATCACATGCTCGTCCATGTACCGAAAACAGGTCACGTGCTCCTCCATGCCTCAAAAGTTAAACGCGTACCAATACCCTGCGGCCTCCAGACCGCAGGGAATGAGTTGATGACCTAAATATTCCGAAAATCTATTTATAGATATAAATCTATTTTTGGTTTCAATTTATTATCACAATTTCTTTTTGAATTATGGTATTTGTATATCATAAAGGATTTATTTATTTATTTATTTATTGGAAAAACGAACATTTTTTGTCAAAACGATTTGAAATCTATTCTCTATTGTATAAAACTAATAAAGAAAATGTTCAATCGTAAAACGTGGAGATTTATCTATCATACTGAAGTGAAACAAGTGTGCACATTTCATTTCCCCTTTTTCGCAGAGAAATCATTCGTTTGCTTTATAGACAAGTAAATGCACAAAAATACTTCGTTATGTGGTACCAATTAATAAGCATGTATCAACTATGTTGCACGTTCAAAAATACGATGCGCTATCTGTAGATCAGCACGTGGCAAGGTTAATGATATGCATGGGCTATTTTTACATTACCTCACCAAGAAGTTGAATTGCGTTCAGTAGATCTAAATATAACTCGATCATGCAGGACCACCCTTTGAAGACGGAATACTACAGTCACCATTCTCTATTGTATAAAATCTAATACAGACAAAAAAACAATTATAAAAGAAACTAACTTTTGCGTCTTGAAAAACAATTGAAACGGAACAATTTCGTTTATAATTGATTACGGTTTAAACCGATAAATCGAGTAAAAATAGAAATCCTATTTATATAAACAAACTGAGATTACCGAAGTAACTAAAATAGCTTAGATTTCCGTAATAGTACTTCGTCTGATTCCGCAGTATGACGGAATCGCCCGAATTGTCACGATTGCAATCGGAACTACATCAGCTATTATCATTAATCCGAAGAGTGACGAAAAAGGCCGAAAAGTTGCGATTAGCACGATTGCAGCTGGTTCCCCGTTCAATCATGCACCAACAGATGTAAGCAGGAAACCACCTAACCGGAACAAGTTTTCCAAATGAAATGGCAAAAAATAGTAGTAAACGTAAAAACTCATTATTAAAAAGGCACATAAAACACAAAAAAAAAGAAAAGAAAAGAGAACACCATTCATAAAATCTGTACTTTTTATTAAAAAAGATATTACAATTATTATATAATAAAACAATCATGCTCAACATAATCAATATGGTTATATAACCAGTGTCATTTTGTTACTTAATTAGTGTGAGCAGATACCTTTAGAGGGGGTATTTGCTAATAGTGATAACATAAGCAGGGACAATTACACAAGTGTGGTATTGATCATGCGTTACACATATGGATTATAAATGATTGTATAAATGTATATCCGTTGATATTAATAACCACGATCATAAAGAAATAACAAGTAAAATTCTAATATCTAGCATGCCAATCAAAGTAAATAATGAACAATGTCTTTCGTCCGTTCATTCATAATTGATATACAATTCTGGTCAAAACCAATTAACCATTGAAAAGTTTATAAGAATATCTTGTCATCATGTATCTACAAGTTCATCTTCACCTGCTGCATTTCTTGCTTGAACGCCCTTTGATGCTTTGCATCAATGCTTTTCTTGTTGAGTATTGTTATAGTAATTGCCATTGACTTAGAAAAAAAATACAATTTTCAACGTGTCGCATGTAACTCAAAAAGGATATTACGTAGAGTCATACAACCTTACGGGAATGTTGCTCAGCATATGAAGTTGTGCACCTTGGGTTACGCTTGTGGATTTATTTGTAGAGATATTGCCCTTGACTTAGTAAAACCGTTCCATGATGTTGTGCTATTTGTTTCTTGAGTGATTGAATAAGAATCAACAAACTTTATAGGAATAATGATCAACATCACTAAATTACAGGAATAATGATCAAAATCACTGTGAAACTATGCACCTGGGACTTTACATGTAGATTTTTTTTCAGGTTTGTAAGAGTTATTGCCCTTGACTTACAGTAGTATAAATTTGCAATTTTCAACTTGTTCATGCATAGCTCAAATTTTTTTTGACTTGTAGGCCTGAAAGTTTACAAAAATGTTTGTCAGCATGTGTACTTATCAGCTTTGTGGTTTGCTTGTGGATTTATTCAGTATTTGTAAAGTTCTTGCCCTTTACTTAGTAAAAGATTTTAGTTGTGGCACAAAAACTATTTGACCTAGAGTCATAAGGTTGACATAACAGTGGCGTGTGGGGCAGCCGTGTCCTATGGACACATTTCTAGTGTTGTTAAAAATGAATCGAATCGAAAATAAAATGGAAACTGCTATTTTTCAATAATTTTCATTTTGAATAATCTTATCAAATCAGTTTTTTAAACAATGTTTCTCTTATTTGAAAAATCTGTTTCTCCAAATATTTTTCTCGATAACATGTTCTTTTAAAATTGAGCATTAATACAATTAAGCGGACGTCATATTTGTTTTGTTTTTTCTGATGTTTTATATAAAGCATTTGTTTTTTTCATGTATCAGTTGGCTCACCCCACAGTTCAGAGTCATGTGACCACTTCCCTGAATACAACAGTAAGCTATATTACCTTAGTCTTTTATTCGTCGAATGTGAAAAATAGGCAATCATCTGTATAGTACTTTGTTTATACAGAATTTATATTGGTTCGATTGTTTAGGAAGTTATAAGCTTATAGACACACTTTCAAACCCGTTCCTGGTACCAACCAGTACTGTGTAATGAATGAAAAGTTTCATGCTCAAGTCAACAACGACTTGCCCGTGACACGGTTTGAACCCAACCGTCTAGCGATCATTAGATTACTTGTCCAATACGTTAACCACTCGGCCATGCAATGGGTATAATACTTAAATACCACTACTTGTCATCCTTATCAGTATTAAATTTTGATTCATAATTGCAGTACCAGTTCTTCTATCAGAACTTTCATATTTTCATCCTGTTTTGCATAAAGACATACTGTAAAAACACGAATTCATTATAATTATAATGTATGTACAGTATTTGTATTCTACATTTTATCAACAAGATTAGTTTGTTTCGTGAAAAATATTTCCTTGTTTTTCAACTGAAGGAATTGAAAAAAAACAGAATCAACTAAAGTAACATTTACTGTTGTGAATCATGTTAAGAAAAATATTTACAATAGTACTAAATTTAACCCTTTACCACATATATACGCGAAGCAACGCACTTTTGACACCCCCCCCCCCCTTTTTTTAGACCTCAAATAGTGAAAAAATGTCCTATTTGGGCCCCAAACATAAGTTTTCGTTTGAGAAATGCTGCTTAAAAAATTGAGCACTTTTTCGGCGCCGCCTCCCATCCAAAAGATACATCAGGGGGTTACCAGAAGTGGGATGTGCCCCCTTCTGTTAGGGGGGTTTGAAGGGGGGCGGAGTCCCCCTCATCGCCAAGAAAATTTTGGACTTGTGAGAGGCTAAAAATGACCCCAGGTCGATCATAATGTAACGTTTAACCAACGCTGAAAAGCCTTTGACTCTATCTCAATCCCTTGAGCAGTTGCAGCACTTTGAAATAAATTTTGATGGAAAAAATCGAGGCAAAATAGTGATTTTTGGCAATTTTGAGATGTCCCCTCGTTGCCATGGTAACAGGAAATTTAAGACTGAGCATGTCGTTACAAAGACAATGGTCCAGTCAACATTTGTGCCAAGTTTGATTAGTATTGAAGCATTTTTCATAGTTTCATAGCAGTTTGAACTTGTAACAGGAGGCTTTTCAGTGAAAACGGCCATTTTTCACAATATCCTCATGGGGGAAAGGGTTAAAACAGGAAATTTATATCTTATTTATATTACAGTCTATTTAGATATATAGATGTATAGCTATGTTCAACGGCACAATAAATAAAAAAAGAGTAAAAAAGTATTAAAGGCATTGGCTTTAAAACGAATATTTAGGGTACTGTAAAAGTATACAATTATCTTTCATTTAAAATTTAATTAAAATGGGATTAGTCCTTTGTTCTCCGTCATCCCCCGTTGTAGAATACTATACTCCTTTAATTTTCTTTTCTTAACTCGTTAATTATAATAACAAGTGCTGATTTTTTTTTAAAGATAAAAAGTCAAATTTTAACTAAAGTCAATATGATATTAGTTTGATCTTACCTAAATAAATAAATACCAGTAGTACTTGTTGCAAAATTTTGTGCGAGATATTCAGTATCAGTTAAAGTGGGAAGAATCATTATTGTATACAGTAAAACATGTTGCTTATATTTTTATTTCAGATCTTATAAAAACATTACAACATAACCCGTGCATAAGTGATACCCAAAGTATGTATGTATGTTTCTATTGTTATTTGAAATATTCTATTATTTTGTATGGTTTACAAAGTTTCTTTGTGGTCTTTTATTTTTTAGCCTGACCATTCATAGAAAAGGAGAGCTGTATACTTGCCCAGGAGTCGGTGCAGCCGTCACACTTTTGTTAAGTTTTACTCCTGCAAGTTGGTACCTCCAAAATTACTGAATGAATGTGTTGAAACTTAACTCTCTTTTATAGAGCATCATATAACGTCAATGTGCTAGACCCATAATTCTTACATGAATTTTGACAGAATTATATCGCCTTTTTGAACGTATAAATTTCTTTATGTTACAGAGTTTTGTTCACTATCAAGCACTGAAAAAAGGCGAGAACGCTGCTTTACTTATATCTGTCAATTGTTAAAATTCATAGTGTTTAATATTTGTTCTTTGTGTTTATCAATATCACTGAAACAACATAGAACTTTATTTCACTCTTTTCGTTTATAATAAAAAAACGGCGATATTTTTTATAGTAATCATATCATTAAAGCTTCACAGCGTGACTAGGACTTGTAACTTGTTGTGATGGCTGGTGATAAAGTTTCTTGAAAGTTGTACATTATGCCTCATGAACGCTGCCAATTTTATCTCTTAAAAACTTTCTATTTTTCGTTATCTTGTAACAATTTAAAAATTTGCCATGCAGATTACATAATCGAAAGAGCATTGAAACACAGGGCTGTCGGAGGGAGGGGAGGCATAGTCTCTGTGTATGAAACAGAGTGTTTTGATGTTAGTTTAACGTATCTTACACATAGATCAAAACACGTTCCCTGTTGTCACAATATAAAACCATAGAAAAAAGTAACCAGAGAACGAGCATCTGAATATGACTGTTCTATTGTTATCCCTTTCCCTGTCGTCAAAATGAGTAAAACCCAGAAAAAATCAGCCAATTAACGATCATGCTCTATATTTGTCCCCGACAGATAGCGCGGTAACCAAAATGCAGGTTACTGATACCTGCACACCTGTTAAAGCATATGCATGGGTATTCAGTTTAAATATGGAAAGATCTCTAAACTGTGATACAAGTAATAGAAAGAGCATCGAGACACGAAGCTATCTGATTTGTACGAGGGCGCGTAGCCCCCGAGTATGAATCAGATTGCGGAGTGTTTTGATGTTATTCCTCTTTTGTATCATAGTCAAACATAAAAGCACGTTCTCTGTTGTCACAATATGAAACCACAGAAAAAAGTAACCAATAAACGAGCATCTGAATATGATATTTCTGTCGCCTTTCCTTTATGTGCCGTCACAATAAGTAAACCACAGCAAAAATTAGCCAATCAATGGGCATGCTCATGAGTGCGGGTAACCAATACCTGCACTCCATTTAACGCAATGTGCATATATCATATACGATTTACTCTGGCACATTTTCAACAGAAATGTCCCAAAACTATAATACAACTATCGGTTACTTATTTTACTCTGTTAGCAATGGGTATAATCATAGTGAATGGAAGTCAAAATACTACTTTGTTTACATTTTGCTACCTTTACGACGCATAACTGCATGTTCAGCGCTACTCCTGCAGTTGTTTAATATCTAACATGCTCTTTATCCATTATAAAGACATGATTTTATCATTGTTTGGAGACCTTTCTGTTAAAACTGTGTTAGAGTTAAATCCTATACATGTCCATGCACAGTGTGCATTAGTTACCTGCACTCCAGAGCATGCTCATTGATTGGCTCATTTTGTCTGGGGTTAACTTGTTGTGATGAAAGGGAAAGCGCTAAAAAGATCATATTCAGATGTTTGTTCATTGGTGTTTCATGTTGTGACAACAGGGAAAGTATTTTTATTTTTCCGCCCCTCGTACAAATCAGATAGCCTCGTTTTTCGAAGCTCTATTACTTAAACACATGAGTGACATTTATAAAGAATTATAAGAATATGGATTTCTCGGTAATAATGTGCGTTATTCCATACTTTTATAAAATAAAGGGTTGTAATACTGTTTACATTTTATTACAGTTTGGCAGATGTTGACCCCTCTACATTACAAAAGCCATACCTGTCTACGACAACTAATCACCATAGCAGCTGGTAATATCATTATCAATTTAAGACGATAATTGTATCCATTGATACCATGAACATCTTAAAACCACACATATGTCAACAAATAAAAACCAAAAATTTATCTTGTCATAATTATCTGAACAAGTTACAACCATAGATGTATACATTGACCCATGAACATTTTAAGACCTGATAACAATTGGAAACTAAAGGGAAACTAAAAATATTTTAAGTGATATCTTAAAAAATTTCAGACCATAAATAGATTCAATTATACCATTAACATTTTAAGACCACAAATATGACCAGTGATAACATAAATAACTGAAGACCACAAATATATCTAGCGATATCTTCAACAATTTCAGACCATACATTAATTCAATGATACCTTGTACAATTCAAGACCACAAATATATACAGTGATACCTTTAACAGTTTCAGACCATAAATGTATCAACTGATATCACAAGCATTGTAAGACCATAAATACGATGAATGTATCCAATGTCATCATTAACAGTTAAGTTTATTAATGTGTCCAGTGTGTCACGTTGTATCACAGTAATAATCGGCAAGGCATTCCGCTAAGGGAATCTCTGCTAAAGAATAATTGCCCAGGTGTTTAAAACGGAGTGTACGGATTGTAAAGAAATACGGAATGGCACCAATAAAACAGAAAATGTTAAATAAAAAATGAACGGAAATTTGTTTTCTAGCGTAGCCGTTAATAGGCTTTACAAACTTGCATATTAACGATTAACATTTGTAGCTGTGGCCATGGATTTGATTAAACCTGCTTTAGTATCATAAATAATGTTAGATCAAGATTCAAGATTTCATTAAGGAACAAACATAATGTATATTGCCAAAAAAATAATGGCGTTTATACATACATATAAACATATTAGCAAATGCATAAAACATCTAAATACGGGAAAAGTAATATCACATATATAATATCACAGTCATGAAATAAATATTAAAACTATAATGATTAATGTTTGAAAATAGTTGGAATTAGCTACCAGTTGTTTCTCTAGCTAAAGTTGCATAGCAAATAAATTTAAATAATTTCTTTATATAACATTCTGTTATGAGTTATTCATTAACATTTTAAATTTCTGTACATTTGCCCAAAAGCAGTAGTATTTAGGTAAATTTTCTCTTCGTAGTTCCATGTAATATGGACAAGCAAGTAAAAGTGATATTCCGTTTCCACTTCAAGTATTGTTCATGTATTAAATGTGTTTTATCATTACAGGGTACGTCGAAAGTCACAATATTGATGGAACTGGATGTCATTGTTCACATAAGTTTGACCGGGAGCACGTGCACAGTATAGGACGTAAGCGTTTTAATTTTTTACTCAGATATATTAATTATGTTAGAAGTCTGATAAAAATTATCTAAATCAAGTACGTGCAATGTTTAAATTACAGTAACTTTAAACCGTTGATACTATTTAATTTGTAGATATTGACATGAATTATAAACACATCCGTTAACTGGTTGCAAGTAGATCAGTTGTTGCGGGTTAGACAATCGTGCGTTGGGTATGTTTTGTTTTATCCTGCAATCAATTGCTGCACAATGTATCATAGGAAATTATGTCCTTAAGAAGATAAAAAAGAAGAAAATATCTTGGTAATCCAGTTTAAATAGTAGGTTCTACTTGAATCACTCTGTCTTACTCGCTACATGTTAACGGATGTGAAAATATCTGTGCATGTGAAAACATAAAAACCGTAAGGTCACAGTTATCTAATGGAAACTGAAAATTTAACTTCTATGAATATTTAATTACTGTAAACAAATTATGTTGATGTTTTAGACCCGTTCTATGTGGCAGAAGTAGCTTTAAAGCGTATAAGTTTATGTTTTTACAGTAGTTTTAACTATTTCAGACAATCACGACCAATATTTGGCGTAAAGTTTACGTTATCATCGAAAAATTTCACTATTTCAGACAATCACGATCAATATTGGGGATATGTTTTCGTTATCATCGGAAACGACGATTTCAGACAATCAGGATCAATATTGGACGTTAAGTTTACGTTATCAAAGAACAATTTTACTATTTCGGACAATCAAGATCACTATTGGGCGTTAAGTTTACGTTATCATCGAACATTTTTACTATTTCAGACAATCACGATCACTATTGGGTGTTATGTTTTCGTTATCATCGAACATTTTTACTATTTCAGACAATCACGATCACTATTGGGTGTTATGTTTTCGTTATCATCGAACATTTTTACTATTTCAGACAATCACGATCACTATTGGGCGTTAAGTTTACGTTATCGTCGAACATTTTTACTATTTCAGACAATCACGATCACTATTGGGTGTTATGTTTACGTTATCATCGAACATTTTTACTATTTCAGACAATCACGATCACTATTGGGCGTTAAGTTTACTTTATCATCGTAAAATTTTACTATTTCGGACAATCACGATCAATATTGGGCCTGATGTTTACGTTATCATCGACAATTTTAACTACGACAATCACGATCAATATAATATTATGTTATCATCGTAATTTTTTACTATTTCAGACAATCACGATAATTATTGGGCCTGCGTGAGACACAATTCAAATTGTGAATGTAAGTTTGTTTTCAATCAAATCATATCATTTATTTTCTTCTGGTTGATTGGGGAAAAACTCAACTTGCCAACTCGGGATCAATTTAAATCATTTAAACGTAAACGGCCGTTGAAAAAAATTACGGCAATTTTGTGACATTTAATGTCAAAAATGTAATATTTAATGACAAGTTCGAGGTTAAGCTGCGTTCGATGTGCATGTATAACGAAGCAAAAATATTTATTATTGCAGTATGCGCTACATTAAAGATTTATTATGCTCAAATTTGATGTTCGAAAATACTAATACATTGTAATTGCTACATGTATTTATAAATGTAAAATAAAGATCCTTTGAGTACACACAGAGACGATGCAATATAACACAGAATATATATCTTTAAACATATTGTCATTTAACAACTGTCAGGGTATTTTTTTTAAGAAAGGGCAAAATTAACTTAATTAAAAGGAATGCGGCTTCCGAAACATGCATTCTCTTTTTCAAGTTAGATAAACTCAACCATGAGTTTTTATGGATTTAGATAATTTTCTGACATAAAAGTATATTACCAAAAGATGAGCGTAGTATATTTTCATACCGTCTCTATCATTGATATATTTCAGACTTGTACAATTACTTTTATCTGCGATTAGGCCAGACACATGCAAAGTCTCAATGCCAGTCTAATAGTCACGGTATGTTTTGTTTTATCATAGATTTACGGGGGAACGTATTTGCGTTAATATGTTAATAATGGTTACCAGTGCTTCGATTATACAAATATTAAATAGTCGTACATTTAGTATAATAATAAAGGTTGAAATACATGGTGTTTTGTTATTTTTCATTTTCATATTATACATTAAGAATAATTAATAATAATATGTAATTAGAGTAATTCTCCATAAAGCTTTTTTTTCAATCTGTGTGAATATTTCTTGTCAGAGCATATATTTCTTTCATAATATTTTTCTTTTAAATACGTTTTTTAAGATTTTCACGAAAATGAGCATGAATCTGGAGGCTTGCTGCTTTGACCTGGTAAAGCCGGAAGTCATTTAGCCTTTGCCACCGGTATAGTACCAGACCAGCGTACACATCTATGCAGTCTGGCCAGACCATTGGCTAGCTAGCATAAATTGTTTAATTTCGATATCCCTAAAATTGATAATAACCAGTTCCAAAATAGATGCAAGACAAGTTCATTAAAGATCGAGCAGGTTAAGGGTAAATCTTTGCTTAGTAGTGAACATGTATATAAATTTTGCAAACTTGCTATAGCTAATAATTCAGTAAGGAATTGTTCCCTTGACAACATATGCAAACTTTCTCGGTTTCATTGGGTCTGCTCATAAAAATAATGGAAAACGCAACATCTCTAGTGATCCGTAGTACCGGCTTGGGTGGTATTCAATCATCAACGCTAAAAGTACACATATTTATGATTCTGACGAACCAGATATGTTTACTATACATTCATTCATTCAGTCATTCATTTTTTTTTAAATTTATTTCTTTATTTTTCTATTTATTTATTTGAATTTTATTCATCTATTTTTTTATTTATTTGAATTTTATTTATCTATTTATTATGTATTTATTTGTTTATTTATTTTCATTTATTTGTTTATTTACTTATTTATTTATTTGTTTATTTATTTATTTATTTAAATCTATTTATTTATTTTATTGAATTTTATTTCTTTATCTTTTATTTATTTATTTGAATTTATTCATTTATTTAATTGAATTGTATTTATTTATTTATTTATTTATTTATTTGAATTGAATTATATTTATTTATATTTTTATTTATCTATCTATCTTTCTATCTATTTATTTATTCATCTATTTTATCTTTACCTACAGTAACATATTGCACGTTATTTAATTATTTATATCTATGTGAGACATGACCATATGATTTTCAGTTTGGACACATCTGAGGGACATCAGGAACATTCTTGGAGTAGATGCCCAGACGGAAATTATCCTGCACCTTGCTCGTATGTTTCTTTATAATACAATACTTAAATATTTCTATATTATAAGAACTTCACTGACATGACAAATCTCCTACACAGTGATCTCCCGTTATCAGTACAGAGATTCTGCCAAGGGAGGTAATCACTGTGAGGGGTTTGTGACATGACATGACTGATAATGAACTACTGAATCAATGTTACATTTGACTGTAGGGTTAGATTATTAATCTGACTGACAATATGATTTAAGTTGAGAATTAACACTTTCCATTTTTAAATTAAAATATTTGTCACAAGTTTCTCGCAATTTCTTCATAAAATGCGTAACTATATCTTTCTCATGAAAGTCATAAAATCCAAAGAAATGTAATTAAAAAAATCATTATATTTCATTTTTTCACACTTTTATTCCAATAACAACAAAACAAATTCTGTCCACATCTAAGCCACTGCCTTTTATCACTGATAATCTACTTGTAAACTGTTTCTCTCCTGTTAGTCTACATGTATTTCAGATTATTCGTTCACTCCGTTTTCCAGAATAATTACTCTAAATGTGAAAAAATGACCCAAAATTAAACAGTATTACAACGCTTTTCACTCAAACTGTCTCAAAAATGCACAAAAATACGATTTTAATTTCATTTTTGAGTATATTACTTAATTATTTTTGTGGTTTTTTTTAGTTCGTTTTAATTGCCCTAGCTGATCTATGTAAGAAATTAAAATGATATATTTTTATGGCTTTGGATCTCAGCGGAGTTCATTTAAATAACATATGTAAACTTTATTATTTAATCATATTAAAAGGTTTTAATTGTCATATTTAACTATTAAATGTCATTAATTTATCACCTCCACCTCGAATACCTACAATCCAATTACGTTGATTTTATAGCTTTTTATCCTTTGAATTCTTAGAAATATGGTTATAAGTTAACGAATTATATGTGAATCATTGTTGAATAATTTCAACTTAATATGATCTCATAGGTACAGGCTGTACACTGAACACATCTTATAAACATCATAGCAAAATTTAACAAAAATGAAATAACTTTCAAGCAAATCTAACTAAAGATTACATTTGATTTACCCATGCATAATTTCATTAGTTTTCAAAAATATCTAACACACCTGTATAACATGTCACTTTCGAAACTAAATGCCCTTAAAACAAAATTCATCAAATTGAGAAGTACAATGTATATGTTCTCCAAATCGTGTGCTGGGTTTGGCCAATGTGCATGATATGCAAATGATATTCATCAAATTTTGATAAAAAAACATGGAGTTTTGCTTCATGGTATTTCCCATATTCTCACAATATGCGGTGGGGAGGGGGTGAGGTAACTAAGTTGTTTTGCCTGTTCAGTGTAAATATAAGAAAAAGAAACGAACCTTGCCATGCTTTATGGTATTTGTTTGCATGTGTAAAGATCAATAAAACCTGGCTTGTTTTTATTTCAGAAACATTTTCCAAAGGACATGAAAATGTCTGCACATGCACAAAAGGTTAAAAACAATATTTCGTTTAGTAACTTGCTGAAATTAAACTTTTATATAATAATGTCTTAATGTATGTGTATAAAATTTTGTTAACATCATCTACTCATAATATGGTTTATCTATTCTAATGAAAGTTTTTTCTCTTACAAGTAAAGTTCGATATACAAGGGGCACACTTCTGACAGCGGTATTTTTTTAGTTTTGCCGATTTTTGTATTTTTATTCATTTAGTTTTGGCGGGTTAAAATGATTATCTAACAAACGAGCGTGAACATCGCATGTTTCTTGTTTATGTTTTATGTCAATTATATTTGTTTTAGTACAAAACTTTCCTAGACTATTGATATTTGAAATTAATTATAATAGGAAATG